ACTGCACGTGATGCCCCAGTGCGCTCCCTCCGTTCTCAAGCATGAAGTTGGCCACCCAGTGTGCTGTCCTCGGGCCTGGCACCACCCAATCGCTCCAGTCCACTGACCGAAGCAGAGCCACTCCCGAGGCGAACGCGCGACGCCGCTCCCCGTTGACGTCGTGCAGCACTGCGAAGGTGCGGCAGTCACCTGAGCCCGAGCCACCGTCTCCAGCCCCATCAGCGGCGACCGCCAGCGGTCCTCCTCCGGCCCCGGCCAGCGCAGCTGCGAGCCCGGCGGCGCCGTCGGCGACAGCGGCTGCGGGCGCGGCGGCGGCTCCAGCCGCGGGGGCTCCTCCAGCAGCGGGCGCAGGCATGGGGGCGAGCCTACCTCCCGCGGGGGCTCCTGCGGCGGCGCCGCCTCCAAGCACCCCGGCAGCCGCTGGGGCGGGTCCCGCACCGGGTGCACCAACGCCGCCTCCTCCAGCAGCCCCGCCCGCCGCAGCGCCTCCGCCTCCTCCGAGCAGAGCAGCCAGCCCGCCGGCAGGTCCTCCTGCCACAGCGAGTCCGCCGCCGCCAGCCGCGGGCGCGGGAGCACCCGCTGCGCCTCCTCCAGCAGCCCCGCCGCCTCCAGCGGCGACCAGCGCCCCGCCACCGCCACCTGCAGGACGTGCCGCAGCGACAGCGAGAGCAGCATCGTGGCCAGCAAAAAGCACCCCGGCCTGCTGCGTGAAGGCCTGTAGCTCCGCGGGCGTGAGCGCGGCGGCGAAGTCGTAGACCCTGAGCCCAGCTCCGCCAGCGGCTGGGATGATGTCCCCGTCTTCTCGGATGAGAGCACGCCCTGGCCCGACTCTGTACCAATGTCGGATGTCGTCATTGTCCTCGCTGAACCACTCAATGAACAAATCATGATCAGGAAAAACGACTGCAGCATGGAGCCCCTCGGTCCCAGAGACGCCGACCACGACGCGGGCGTGCAGGAGCGGAGCCCCTGGCAAGTCGCATTCCACATATAGTTCATCTCCGATGTTCATGCCTTGGCTCCAGGCGGAGTCCAGTCACCAACGATCCTGCCGCGCCCTCCTGGCACCCTGCGATCCAGAGCGCCGACCAGTGGAGCCACCTCGCCGCAAGCCTCGACCGCAAGAAGCCCCTCGCGCTCCCGGCCGCACCAGCGGCCCAGCTGGCCGCGCACGGCGGCCCAAAGCCTGGTGGCGAGCTCCCAAAGCAGGAGGGTCCCCAAGCCTAAGGAGACCTCGAAGCCCCAAGAGAACTCCGCCTTGGCCGGCTCGGGGCACGCCGGGCAAGGATCAGGGCACTCCACCAGCGGTGCCGACGCCCCCCAGGGCAAGCACCTCTCGAGCTCCGCGCACAGCTCTCCAGCCAGCGCGGGGGTCGGCGGCGCGGCCGCCGGGCAGCTCCGCGCTGGCGGAGCAGGGGCCGGCGCCGCAGCCGGCGGAAGGGCGGCCGCAGGCCGCGCGGCGGGCGGGTTGGCGGGGACGCGGCTGGCCCACCACTGCCCCAGCCACGCGGAGCCCACGTGGAACGCCAGGAACACCGCGCCGCGGCCCGCCTGGCGCATTCAGGTCGCGGGCTGCCTGCGGCGCGCGACCTCTCCGAAAAAGGCTTGGGCCGAGGCGGTGGCAGATGCAAGCACCGCGCGGCCCTCCAACGCTCTGCGATTACTGTTCTAGAACCCCCCATCCTCAGCAGCATCAACATCCTTCTTTATCCTCCTCCTCCTCCTCCTCCTCCTCCTCCTCCTCCTCCTCCTCACCGTGCAGTCATAACCATATATCCGACGACACGTTGAAATCCAAACGTTTTTGCTCGATTTCGGCCTCCGTGGCCCGTCATGGGATAGGGGAAAGGGTCGGGACCTCTGGGGCCGCGCATTGAATAACATATCGGAAGAGTCCTAGAACGCGTCATAAAGATGGAGATTGGGGGAGCCGGGCCCTTGGAACACCAAGCATGCGAGCACCCGCAAGGTTACCCGTGGACCGACGAAGCAGAAGCCCCGCCAATGATACCCAAACTGAAGGATACAAGATTCAAGGGTGCCTTGCGTCAGCGGTCCATCTCTAACCAGCGTTTTGACTGTAGTCATCCTCCCTCCCCCCCGTTTTCGAAGATGGAAATTAGCTCGGCTCTTTTCACCCAATGGACCCTCGGAAGCCTCGGAAAGCCTCCCACTCCCCCTCTCCCCCGGGAGTAGCACAAGCTCCTCGCCACCCCCCTCCTCGCCGCGTGGGCAGGCTCCATCAGCATCGCGCCGGGAAGTCGGACCCGATCGACATGCGCGCCAGATCGGGCCCGCAGCGGCACCGGGCCGGAGAGAGCCGAGGCGGATTGCACCACCACGCCGTGCGAGCCTCGTACCGCACCGTGCCGCCAGACGCTGGGAGCCGAGTCGGATCCGGCCGGCGGGAAGCGCTGCACCGGCCACGGATGGCGGGCCGTGGCCTCCCGATGGAAGCCCCAAACGGCATCACCTTGGGTCGGGCATCCCCAGGCGGAGGTTGCAAGAAAGAATTTAGCACACGAGTAGAGCATGTTCAAAGGTGTATATATATATATATATATATATATATATATATATGCATAAATATATATTCAAAAGAACACGAAGCATCGTCTCCAGACGTTTTTGGGGCATTCTTTCTGTACCACTCTCTTTCCCTGCAAATCTGGGCTTTCAAACAAAGGGTCGACTTGTAAACTCTACCTCGTTAGGGGGCATGGCAAGACCCTTCCCCGGCTCCGCTGCCCAGGGAGGGTGTTTTTGACTCTTTCCCACGCAGCGTTGGCTGGGGGTGGGTTCAAAACAAAGATCGAGCGGTTTGAAATAGGGACCGACCGTCCCGGCATTCCTATAGTCATACCACGAAGTGTTCTTAGAACCCGAAAATGTTCTAAGAATAAAAACGATGTTCTTAGAACATAAACCCGATGTGTTAAGACAAGACAGTCCCAGCCAGAAATGTTCTAAGAACATTTCGTGGGAACCACAAACAGTTCTTAGAACATTGTTTGGTGGGGCTATAGGCGAGCCGGGACGCTTCGCCACTGCTTGGTAGAGGACACGCCCGACAGAAGCATAGCCATCAACTCTCGAAGGTCCGCGCTGACCTCTCGTGGCGGCGCCAGGCCCCCTTCCCAATGGCGCGCGGGGGCGCCGGAGGCGCCGCCAGGAGAGGGGGGGCCTCCTGATGGGAGGGGGAGTTTGAGGAGGAGGAGGAGGAGGAGGAAGAGGAGGAGGAGGAGGAGCTGAGGAGGAGCTGAGGAGGAGGAGGAGGAGGAGGAGGACCGCCACCCAGACGGCAGAGTGTGCGGGGAGGTCTTGGATCCGAAAGGGGTTCACGCTCGCGGGTGCGCTGTTGGCGGCCGGCGCGTGCGCCGGCACGACGCGGGGTGCGCAGCCCTGGCCGAGTGGTGCGAGAAGCAGGGTTGCACCGTACACAGGGAGGCACTGGTGCCCCACGCGGCGCCCGCGAACCCGGAGGCCCGCATGGACTTGGCCGTCCACGCGCCAGGGGTGGCTGCGCCGATCCTGGTCGACGTCACCAGTGGTCAGCGCCCTGGCCCAGGACGCCCTCGGCCTCGGCGCGCCGCGCCTCGAGGGCGCTGCCGCGGCGGCCGCGGGGCGCCGCAAGCGAGCGCGCCATCCAGGCGTGCCAGCGGTCCCGCTCGTCATCGAGGACCACGGCCGCCTGGGAGAGGACGCGGCGGCGCTGCTTCGCCGGCTGGCCCCGACGGACGCGGCGGAGCGCTCGGCAGCGATCCGCCGCTTGCACCAGGCCCTGGGGAGCGTGCTGCAGCGCCACGCGGCCGATGCAGTGCTGGCGGCCACCCAGCACCGGCCCTGGCGCGAGGCCGAGCGGCCGGAGGAGAAGGAGGAGGAGGAGGACGCCGAGGCAGCGGCCAGCCTGGGGCGAGGAGCGCGGACAGGCGAGGCAAGGAGGGGCGGGTGCTAGCGCGAAAAACCTCCATCTTGATTTTTTTAATACGTTGGATCTCGGGGTATGGGGTCGGAGTACCCCGCGGTGACCCCGCACCCCCACGGACTCACCGCACGGCGTGGTCACAGGGCTCGGGGGCCCCCGCTCCCAGACCCCATCGGGTAATGAACAACTCTGCAGGCTGTTTGCCTCTTGTTTGTCGGCCTCTGGGAGGTCGAGGCTGTTTGCCGCTTTTTTGTCGGCCTCTGGGAACCCTTACCGGCCCTCGGGACCGTCAAGAAGCGGCTCGGGATGAAAAACTGGTCCAGGGGAATGGGTCGAGACCTTCAGGGCTCGACGCAATGATGAAATCATGACGTCGGGGGTCTGGGTAGACGGGGCCCGAGGGTCGCACCGCATCGCCGACGCCGGCGACTCATCGGCGGCGTCGGCGTGGAGAGAAGCGGGCTCCGCATCGAGCCGCATCGCCGATGCATCGACGATGCGGCGCGATGCTCCGAGCCCATCTGCTCGGACCCCATCTGGGAGGCCCAGGCTTGTTCAAGCGCTCCTCGTCTCTTCACCCGTGCTCGCTCCTCGCAGCTCCACCCTCGCCACAGGGGGGTGAACCGCCGATCCAAGAGGTCCGCGCGGACCACCAGAAGTTTACAGTCGGGAGTTTTTGCTCAGCGTGCCGCGGCGGCGGCCCCAGCGTCACGCCATGCCTTGCGAGCCGACAGCGTGTCGCGTCGCTCCACAGGGCGAGAGGCTTGGAAAGGCTCGGGACGCCGACGCGTAGGAATGCGGAAGTGGCTGGCGTGCCGCGCCGAGACGTGGTGGGCCAGAACCGGCAGCCCGACAGGCAAAGCAAGCATTCCAGACCGTATGGTTGTGCCGCTTGCTGTCGGGGGAGAACCCCAAAAGGCATCGACACCGCTACTCCCTGGACCTCTCCCGGGGTGCGCTCGGACCATAGTCAACTCCGAGAACCCAGCCGTGGTGACGAGAGCTCTCCAGGACGAGCAGCGGCATCGGTACCCGCCCCTCCTCTGAGGTACTTTTTCAACTCTCCGGCGAGCACACGTTGAACTTCTGCTCGTGCGTCATCAGCGACAGCATGAAGCGGTAGACGGCCACGCGCCGCCGGGGCTCGGCTGCGAGGGCGAACCTCTCGTTGCCGACGGCGCCCTGGTAGCTTGGATGCTCCGCCCAGCCGTTGAGCGCGCAGACGGCGTCGGTGAAGTTCTGGACGAAGAGGGCCGGGTTCCTTGGCGGGGGGTCTGTTGCGGTAACGAACCGTGCGGTGACATCGTCCCGGTGACATCGGAATCCCCAAGGACCTCACCGCACGGTCCGTCACCGCACGGTGTTGGGACCTCGGAGGGCCCCCGCGCCCGAGACACGCTCGGAGAGCGACTCGAGTCCCCAAACCGTGCGGATACCCCGAATCCCCACTGGCCCACCGCACGGTGTGTTCAGCGCACCGTTTTAGGGCGCCCCCGAGTTCCAAGGCACCAATTTCGGCTTCGGTCGCGGCGGTTGCCGTGGATTTCGGCCTCTAGGGGCCCGTCTCGGAGCCGTATCGGGGACGAATCACTGCCGGGGAGGGTCCAAGTGGGGTCGGATGACCACCTCGGCGACTTCGGTGATGCATCGGCGACGTCCACGTGGAGAAAGCCGGGCTCCAAAGTGAGCCGCATCGCCGATGCATCGACGATGCGGCGCGATCTTCGGATCCCCTCCACTCGGTCCCCACGTGGGAGGCCTGGAACTTTTAAAGTATTCGCGATAACGCCTACTACCGGAGCCCCCCACCCCCTTCCTTTTCCATCGATAACGCCACGAGTCGCGCTGGCTCCGTATGTGAACGCCTGGGGGCACCCCACTCAATTCCTGGACGGCGCCAATGCAAATCGTGACGTTACCATCCCCTGCTCCCCTCTTACCCTGGCAACGCCCATCGTCGCCATAGAACGAACACATGACATTCTTGCGGCAGAAGACCCTGCAAAACTTTACACAGTTGCAGTGAGGGCCACGACGGAGGGTCGCGATGGGAGGCAACGATGGGGGGGCCACGCTGGGGGGTCACGATGGGGGCCACGATGGGAACAGGCGTGAGGATACATGGCTAGAGATCGCGAGGATGTAAGGATTGGGATGGGGACGGGGATGTAGGATAGGGGTTCAAAAAAACGGTCTGGGGACCGAGGCAAAGGGGTAGGGATAGAGACTGCAATGGGCCAATTCGCCATCGCTCGGACGTCCATTCCCCGTGCGTGTTTCGATGTCGCGCGTGTATCGTTTTCGCGAGACGCTCCAGGATGCTCCTCGATGGCCCCCGCCGTGAACAAAAACACGCACACGTCCGAGCGATGCCGAGCCAGTGGCCACAGAGGCAACGGGAGACCACAAAGGCCACGCCGCCCGACCGCCTCCGGATCCGGAGGTCCACCGACTCGCTGGCCTCGCTTTGCAACACGTGCAGAAAGGCCCCTACAGTTATGTTGCTCCCATCGTACTTAAGGACCACATCCCAGAAATAATTTCGAGCTCCTACAAAAAAGTGTCGAAAGAGTGTCGACAGAGTGTCGAAACAGTGTCTCCCGGGGCCCGACACGTGAAAACCCTCGAGTTTTGGGGTGCGCTCGAAACTCTCTCTGGTGATCAAGGCCAAAGTAGGTTGGAACATCATAACCCTACAGACAGGCGCTGCTCGGGGACAACTTGCCCCAGGAGGGGCTGCGCAGGGGCGGGCGCCCTTCACTGAAGGCGAAAGGGGGGCTTCGTGCAGCCCTACCCACCGTCAGGCTGCTGAGATAAGAAACGGTCTATATATAGAGAGAGAGAGAGATATAAAACAACGGAACCGCTTATTTCCCAAGTCGAGCCGTGAAATTCGAAAGAGCGGCCGTGCAGCCTGAAGGAACACCGAAGGGGCTCGCCACCAAAAAGGCAACGGCACGCACGCAAAACCAAGGAAGTACCGAGCCCCTTCCTCGCAATGGAACCTTCTTCCAACGAGCCGACTGTGCCCGTCGGTCGGAAGAAGGAGAAGGAGGGGGAGGAGGAGGAGGAGGAGGAGGAGGAGGAGGAGGAGGAGGAGGAGGAGGGAGGAGGAGGGAGGACGAGGAGGAGGAGGAGGAGGAGGAGGAGGAGGAGGAGGGAGGAGGAGGGAGGAGGGAGGAGGAGAGGGGTAGAAACACGAAGTAGAAAGGCGTTGGTAACAGATTGGGCTGCCGCCCGACCCCTGAGGAGGAGGAGGGAAAAGGTGAAACCGCTCGACCCTTGAGGTAGGAAGGCGCCCAAAAGTAGATTGGGATCTGGGCATCAAGACAGACCTACCTCCAACGACCGGCGTGTACACCCCCCTGGAAACTACTACAATGTCTGCAGGTCATGCCGGGCCCCCCAACAGAGCCCAAGAGGCTCCCAAGAGAGCCCGAGAAAGGCTCCAGAGCGTCAGCGTCGTCGTCGTCCCCGCTGCCGCCGTCATCGCCGTCCCCCTTCAGGGTCGGCGGCACCGGCCGCCAGGCCTTCCCAACACAATGCTCCCAGACCCCCGACGTCATGATTTTTTCATGACGCGACCCCCAGAGGTCCAGACCCATTCCCCGGGACCGGTTTTTCATCCCGAGTCGTTTTTTGACGGTCCCGAGGTCCGGTAAGGGCCCTCAGAGGCCGAAAATAGCGAGAAACCTCCCGTCGTGATTTTTTCATGACTCGAGGAGGTCTGGGCTTGCAGGTCGCGTCGAAGAATCGTCCGGGGGACCTCTCCGTTCATGCCGGGCCCGCTGCTGGTGGGGCCCCTAAGGGCACGAGCCCGGCCCCGGGAGGCCACGCAAGCAGAGGTCGACGCCTCCTGCTGCGCCGCTCCTCTCCAGAGCGTGCCGCGCCCGCCCTCGGAGGCGGGCCTTCTCGGGAGCCTCGCCGGGCCACACTCTGCGAAGGGGGGGGGGGCCCTGTGCTCTCGGCCGGCCGCCTTATTTTTTGGTGGCGCAGAGCCAGCGGGTCATGAGGGCTACGAGCGGTGGCACCTCCTGGGAGCCTCCCATGCCGTCTTGCTGGCTGGCTCTTGCGACTCGGCGCTGGCCGACGCCAGGCGACGCGCGGTAGACGCTGATCGACGCGAAATCGGCGCCATCGCTTCGCTCACCGGACGATGCTCGACGCCGGCGCACTCCAGAGACGGAGCTGCGAGGGCACACAGCAGGCTCCCACGACTTGCGGCCTCTCCCCCAAGACCACGTCTCTCCCTCGGGGCCCCAAGAAGCCGTGTGGTGACGGCCCGAACTCGGCCGGCTTGCGGCGGCTGGGGAGGGGAAGGGGAGGATGAAGAGGAGGAGGAGGAGGAGGAGAAGGAGGAGGAGGAGGAGGAGTAGGAGGAGGAGGAGAAACGAGGAGGAACAATGAGGAGGAAGAGGAGGAGGAGGAGGAGGAGGAGGAGGAGGAGGAGAAGAAGGGGTTGGAGGAGGAAGGAGGAGAAGGGGTTGGAGGAGGAAGGAGGAGAAAGGAGGAGGAGGAGGAAGAAAAGGAGGAGGAGGACGACCTCACACCGCGCGGCCCGCCACCGCACGGACTGGGGGACCCTGGAGACCACGGGTTCGGGGGCGCCCCCTCCCAGAGCCCCCCGGGAAACCGAGAAAATCGTCACGGCAGGTTTTTTCATACCTTCGGCCTTTGGAAGCCCTCGCCGGCCCTCGGGGCCGCTAAAAAACGATTCCGGACGAGAATCCGGTCCCGGGGAATGGGTCGAGACCTCGGACAGACCGCGTTTCACGGGCGCTCGCCTTAGGAACATTCGGCGGCGCGTTTCGAACCGGGGGGTGGGCCTCCCCCCCGCCAACACTCGGCGCCGTCGATCAAAACCAAGGGGGCTCCCCTCCCCCCAACCCCCCCACCTCCCGACCCCCCCCCCTCCCAAGGGGGGGAGTTCAAAACAACCCCCCCCCATTCGGCGCCAGCGCTGGCGCCAGCGCTGGCGGCCGCCAGCAACGCCGACGACGGGGACGCAGCGACGAGGGCCAGAGGCAGCCCAAGGTGGGGGGGGGTTCAAACCCCCCCCCCTGGCGCCGGCGACGGCACTGGCGCTGGCGCCGGCCAGCAGCGCCGGCGCTGGCGCTGGCGACGGCGGGGACGCAGCGACGATTACCACCACGACGACCACCACCACCACTACTACCACCAGCTCCACCGCCTCAACCCACCACCACCACCAACCCACCACACAACCACCACCACAACCACCACAGCCACCACCACCACCACGACCACCACCGCCACCACAACTCACCACCACCACAAAAACCCACTACCACTACCAGCAGCACCACCATAATCTACCACACCACAACCCCCACCACCGCCACAACCACCACCACTACCAGCAGCACAACCCACCACCACCACCGCAAACCACCACACCGCCACCACCACCACCGCCACCACCACCTCCACCACCTCCACAAACCACCGCCACCACCACAAAAACCACCCACCACCACCACAAACCACCACCAAACCACCACCACCACCACGACCCACCACCACCACCACCACAAACCACCACCACACCACCACCACACCACCACCACCACCACCACCAACACCACCACCACCACCCACCACCACCACAACAAACCACCACACCACCACCACCACCAAAACCACCACCATCGCAACCACCACCACCACAACCACCAACACTACCAGCAGCACAACCCATCACCACCACCGCAAACCACCACACCGCCACCACCACCACCGCCACCACCACCACCACCACCAGCACCACCTCCACAAACCACCGCCACCACCACAAAAACCCACCACCACCTCCACATACCACCACCACACCACCACCAAACCACCACCACCACACCACAACCACCACCACCACCCCACACCACCACCACCACACACCACCACACCACCACCACCACACCACCACCACCACCACCACCACCACCACCACCACCACGACCACCACACCACCACCACCACCACCACCACGACCACCACCACCACACCACCACACACCACCACCAACCACCACCACGACCACCACCACCACACCACCACCACCACCACCACCACCACCCCACCACCACCACCACCACAAACCAACACCACCACCACCACCACCACCGCCACCACCACCACCCACCGCCACCACCACCACCACAACAAACCACCACACCACCACCACCAAAACCACCACCATCGCCACCACCACCTCCACAACCAACCACCACCACCACCCCTGTCGTTCTCGTCGACGCTCCCCGCCGCCGCCGCCCGCCGCCGCAGGTGCCGGCGCCGGCCCAGAAAAGGAAATCGTCGTCCCGGCCGCCGCCGGCAGCCGCCGCCGACGCAGGCGCCGGCCCGAGGAGAGAGGAGAGGGAGGGAAGAGGGGGTGGGGGGGGTGTCCGGTTCCAACCCCCCCCCCTCCAAGCGACCACAGCACGCACTCTTTCAGACCTCGAGAGAGTCGACGTTATGAAAAAATCATGACGTCGGGGGTCTGGGTTTCTTCGTCCTCGTGGCCTAAAAGGGGGTCCAGCTGAGTGGGGGTGGTGCAATAGGTTTGGGGCAAGCATATTGCAAATGTATCGCGCCAGAGAATTGTATTGCACTGTATTGCAACTATTGTTTTGCACGCGGAAATCCAGCAATACATCTGCGCACCGAAATGTATTGCACACCCCAAATGTATTGCAACCCCACAGATCCATTGCACCAAATCTATTGCACCACCCCCTTGTCGCTGGAGTCCCTTTTGGGTCAACCAGGCTTCGTTTCGAGTCGTTTTTTTTTACGGGCCCTGGGCCCGGGGAAGTCCCCGGGAGCGCGAGAACTGCCCCCCCAAAACCGTCTGTCGTGATTTGCTGCCACGACGAGAGAAGGTGAGCGACGGAAAGAAACGGGTCTTACGCGAGATGGTATGGCGAGCTTGCGCCGCGGCTTGCGCGGGCCGCCAGCGCGGCACGCTACATTGGAGACGAGGGCGTTTACGCGCCACCTCACGCGAGAAGCTCACATGCGAATGTCGGCGCAGGCGACCCCGTTTTTGTTGCGTCGCTCAGACGGCTTCGGCCCACAACTCGGAACTGCAGCGGCCGTCCTGGACGATCCAGACAGGCCCAGAACAACCTCGGCGAGGGGACGCTGCTGGAGAGCATCGCGAGGCTGGAGGAACCCTGCCGCCGCGCGACGACTCCCGAAAACCTCAAACCTCTGAGGGCACCCAAGGGACCCGTTTCCTTCAGGACCTTAGCTGCCCCGATACGCAACACGGAACACGTATCCTATTGCTACGGAGCTCAACACGTGTCCTGAAAACGTGGGGCCTGACACGATACGTTCGCCGAAACGTGGGCCTCTACGTTTAGCCAACACGCAGCGTACTGAAGCGGACGTTTTGAGCACGGCACGTGTTGCGTATCGAAACGTGCGTAGCGAGGCAGCTCAGTTCAGGACCCGTCCGCTTCGTGGCGACGCGCTCCCTGGGCGCCGCGCCCCCCCCCCGCCGGGCTCCGTCGGTGCAGGATCTTCGCGAAGATGCACTCCACCAGGCCGCGGATCGGCCCCGCGGGGTCGCCCAGCGCGAAGAGGAACCTCGCGGCGCGCCCGAAACGGGCAACTGCTGGGGGGCCACGTGCGAACCCTGCCCCTACCCCCCACGACTTCTGGGGGGGAGGGTGGGGTTCACTTCGCTCGGCGCTCTGCTCAGACATCCACAGGGATTGCCGTTGGTCTCCGTCCCAGTTTTCAGTACGTCGGTCAGGAGGAGGAGGAGGAGGAGGAGGAGGAGGAGGAGGAGAGGAAGGCTGCCGTCGTCCTCAGGATGCACCAGAACATCCAACAGACACGAAAGACACTAGGGCCGCAACCACGGAAGCCGCTAGACATTGAGGATTACAGACTTCGGCTTTAAATGTCTTACAGATGTCCTGGGGGGCCTTTGCGCCTTAAGCGTGTGACCACATTACAAATGTCTAACACATGGCGTTCAAATGTTTTTGGTTCTTGCTTTTCTGCGTTGGTGAATATCGCTGTCCTGGCGAATTGGATTTTCTCGGCGTTTGTAGCGAAGTAGTGCGGCTGCAATTCTTATGTTGCGATGCCGCCTCCTCGTCCGATGACGCAGCTGCCCTTGCCATCTCAATTAGAAGCCCGCTGTTGCCTGCCAGGGGCCGGGGTCTTTACGATTGGGTCCAGGGGGTGGCCGTCGAAAGTTGACGCCGCCGCCAATTCTTGACGCTCCCCGTATTTCTACCAGGGTTGCACGCTGGCTCTGACGCCCTAGGACGCTGCTGCGTGCCGCTTGACCGCGGCCTCGCGCGCGCCCGCCGCTAGTCGCGGCCGCAGCCCGCCCGCGACCGCCCGCCGCTGGCGCTTCCGCCTGCGGCTGTAAAAAAAAAAAAGTTTTTCTACCAGGGCATGTCTTACTGCAGGTGCTTGCCTGTTGTAGTTATGCGAGCTGGCTCGCCGACACTGGCGGCTGTGTTCGCAAATTCGCACCGTTCCGCCGCCCCGGACGTCGCTCTCGCTCCTTGGCGGTCGCCTAGGAGCCGCCAACCAAAAAAGTATTTCTACCAGTCCATTCAGAGACGATGCCCAGGCGAGTTGCATTGATCAAGGAAGTGTCGCAGCAGGCAATATAGTAAATACTGGTGTCATATGTTACCTTTGGGAAGGGGGAGGAGGAAGCTGATGAGGAGCATGGTGAGGGAGGGAGGGGAGGAGGGGGGGGTGAGCAGGATGACGAGGAGGAGGAAACGGAGGAGGACGGGGGGAGGAGGAGGAGCAGGAGGAGGAACAGGATGGTGGAGGGGGAAGTGCACGACGACGAATAATAATAGTGACTAGGGTGCCAGGGAGAGCTCGGGGACGGCACACTAGTGACTGGGGTGCCCTCCCCGAGCTCCCTGCACGAGCTTTCCCGTACCCATTTCGGATCGTTCCGGCACCTGTGCACGAGGGGCCCCCGGAACTTCACGAAGTTCTCGGAGAGGAGGGACGCGAGAGTCATCGCCGACTGCCTCAGACGAAACCACAAACTGCACGAACCCAGACATGCGGCGTCCTGCTTTTTGTTCAAGGCGGCGTCCCTGGAAGTCACGACCCTTTCCCCGGGACCGGTTTTTCGTCCCGAGTCGTTTTTGGACGGTCCCGGGGCCCGGCGAGGGCCCCCCGCGGGGCCGAAAATAGTGAAAAACTTCCCGTCCTGATTTGGTTGACGACGCGATCATGTCTGGGAAGGTGGACCTCCTAGGAGGTCTGGGCCCCTTCCGCTGGACAGACAAGCGCTTCATCCCCGAGGCGTGGTTTGAAGGCCCCTGGGGCCCAGCAGGGGCCCCCAGAAGTCCGCGGGAACTCCGGAAGTCTAGGCCGCTGTGCGTCCCTCGGCTGCCTGCGGAGGAGCTCGTTGGCGTCGCGCAGCAGGTCGGCCATGCACAGCACGAAGCGATCGACCAGCGAGGTGTACTGCACGCAGAGGTCGGCGAGGACAACGAGCACGTTGTTGCGCACCTCAGCGGCGCCCCCACAGGGGAAGTGCGAGGGGGGCGACCTTCTGGGGGGAGGCTTCTCAGAAGGCAAGGGCCTTCCGAGAAGGCCGCCCCTATCGCCCCACCCACTTGTGGGCGCCACCGCGCACCGCGAACGGGTGCTGCTCGCCCAGGTGTAGTGCAAAGAGCTCCACGGACCTCTTCGCGAGGGACTCCTGCCGCAGGCACACCTCGGGAGAAGAATGCTGAGAAACTGCAGAAGGATAAACTTGCGAAGGTCCTCGCGAATGTCTTGAAGGTTGTTGGCCGCTTTCGGCGTCTGGGGGCCCTTGCGGAGCCCCAGGCCCATCAACAAAAACGGCTCAGAATCCGCCGACCCTGTCGGCGTGTGTGAGGGGCTTTTCCGTTCGAGCCGTCATCTCCGTCATTCTTTGTACTCGTCGTCTCTGTCCTTCCCTTTCCCTGGGAGACCTCTTCCCCTGGGCTCCAGCCAAGCCGACCTTGAGCAACCTCGTAATTGAGTCGAAGGGAAGCCCCTTCCCTTTGATCCCTCCCCCGCCGGGAGGGGGGGGGGGGTAGCGACCCCCCCCCCGGGTCAGATACGACGCCCCCCCCTGGGACTCCTCTTCCCCTGGGCTCCAGCCAAGCCGACCTTGAGCAACCTCGTAATTGAGTCGAAGGGAAGCCCCTTCCCTTTGATCCCTCCCCCGCCGGGAGGGGGGGGGGGTAGCGACCCCCCCCCCGGGTCAGATACGACGCCCCCCCCTGGGACTCCTCTTCCCCTGGGCTCCAGCCAAGCCGACCTTGAGCAACCTCGTAATTGAGTCGAAGGGTTGCCCTTCCCCTTGATCCCTGCCCCCGCCGGGGACGAGGCGGGGGGGGGGGGGGGTAGCGACCCCCCCCCCTTTATCGGGGTAGATACGACGCCCCCCCTGGGACTCCTCTTCCCCTGGGTTCCAGCAAAGCCGACCTTGGCAACCTCGTAATTGCGTCGAGGGGCCCCTTCCCTTTGATCCCTCCCCCGCCGGGTGGGGGGGGGGGGTAGCGACCCCCCCCCGGGTCAGATACGACGCCCCCCCCCTGGGACTCCTCTTCCCCTGGGTTCCAGCCAAGCCGACCTTGAGCAACCTCGTAATTGAGTCGAAGGGAAGCCCCTTCCCTTTGATCCCTCCCCCGCCGGGAGGGGGGGGGGTAGCGACCCCCCCCCCCCGGGTCAGATGCGACGCCCCCCCCGGGACTCCTCTTCCCCTGGGCTCCAGCCAGGCCGACCTTCAGCAACCTCGTAATTGAGTCGAAGGGAAGCCCCTTCCCTTTCATCCCTCCCCCGCCGGGAGGGGGGGGGGGTAGCGACCCCCCCCCCGGGTCAGATACGACGCCCCCCCCTGGGACTCCTCTTCCCCTGGGCTCCAGCCAAGCCGACCTTGAGCAACCTCGTAATTGAGTCGAAGGGAAGCCCCTTCCCTTTGATCCCTCCCCCTTTCATCCCTCCCCGCCGGGATAAGACGGGGGGGGGGGGGTAGCGACCCCCCCCCGCCGGGTCAGATACGACGCACCCCCTGGGACTCCTTCTTCCCTGGGCTCAGCCAGCCGACTTGAGCACAACTTCGTTATTGAGTCGAAGGAAAGCAGCCCCTTCCCTTTGATCCCTCCCCCGCCGGGGAGGGGGGGGGGGGGGGTTGCGTCCCCACCCCCCATCCGGTTCCGGCGTCAGATACGACGCCCCCCCATGGGATCCCTCTTCCCCTGGGCTCAGCCAAGCCGCCAAGCAGACCTTGAGCAAACCTTCGTAATATTGAGTCGAAGGGAAGCCTTCCCTTTCATTCCTCCCCGCCGGGGAGGGGGGGGGGGGGGGTAGCGACCCCCCCCCGGGTCAGATACGACGCCCCCCCCCCTGGGACTCCTCTTCCCCTGGGCTCCAGCCAAGCCGACCTTGAGCAACCTCGTAATTGAGTCGAGGGAAGCCCCTTCCCTTTGATCCCTCCCCCGCCGGGAGGGGGGGGGGGTAGCGACCCCCCCCCCGGGTCAGATACGACGCCCCCCCCTGGGACTCCTCTTCCCCTGGGCTCCAGCCAAGCCGACCTTGAGCAACCTCGTAATTGAGTCGAAGGGAAGCCCCTTCCCTTTCATTCCTCCCCCGCCGGGAGGGGGGGGGGGTAGCGGGGGGGGGTAGCGACCCCCCCCGAGTCAGATACGACGCCCCCCCCCCGTACCGACCTTGAGCAACGTCGTCATTGAGTCGAAGGGAAGCCCCTTCCCTTTCCCTTCCCCGACGGGGGGGGGAGAGGAGGTCCCGGGGGGGGTCCCGGGGGAGTCCCGGGTCAGATACGACACCTCCCTCCCCCACCTTCTCGTCCTTCTCCCCGTTCCCCCAAACCATCCCACAGCCCGTGCCTCTTGCTGCGCATTGCGAACAGGGTCGGCGGCACCGGCCGTCAGGCCTTCGCAGATCAGCTACCGGGGAAGAGGTCCCAACCCCCGTGGGCCACATGATCTTGCTATCGCTCGGACGTCCATTCCACATGCATTATCCGATGTCGTGCGTTTTGTTTCCCAGCCCTCCTGCGTGTTGGGTTCTCGTTTTGGATACAGCACTGCTCGCGCGTTTCTTCCTCCTCCCCCTCTTCCTGATTATTCCTGCGCTGCTCCCGCCGCTTTTCCTCGGCTGCTGGGGGGCAGGGCGGCGTAGCGGAGTACCCGAGACCTCGCAGCTCCCTGGGGGGCTGCGAACTGCGCAACCGTCGCCACTTCCCTGGGCTCCTGGGAGGCACGGCGGAGTAGCGGAGCAGCGGAGTGCCCGAGACCTCGCAGCTCCTTGGGGGGCTGCAAACTGCACAACTGTCGCCACTTTCCTGGGCTGCTGGGAGGCACGGCGGAGTAGCGGAGTGCCCGAAACCTCGCACCTCCCTGGGGCGCTGCGAACTGCGCAACTGTCGCCACCTTCGTGGGTTTCTGGGAGGCACGGCTGCTTAGCGGAGTACCCATGACCTCGCAGCTCCCTGGGGGGGGGGGACTGCGAACTGCGCAACTGTGGCCGCGTTCTTGGGCCGCCGGGAGGCACGGCGCAGTAGCGGAGTACCCTAGACCTCGCAGCTCCCTGGGGTGCTCCGAACTGCGCAACCGTCGCCACCTTCCTAGGCTCATGGGAAGCACGGTGGAGTAGCGGAGTAGCGGAGTAGCGGAGTACCCGAAAGCTCGCAGCTGGGGGGTTGCGAACTGCGCAACTGTGACCTCTTTCCTGGGCTCCTGGGAGGCACGGCGGAGAAGCAGTACCCGAGACCTTGCAGCTCCCTGGGGGGCTGCGAAAGGCGCAGCCGTCGCCACTTGCCTGGGCTCCTGGGAGGCACGGCGGAGTAGTGGAATACCCGAGACCTCGCAGCTCCCTGGGGGGCTGCGAACTGCTCAACTGTCGCCACTTCCCTGGGCTCCTGGGAGGCACGGCGGCGTAGCGGAGTACCCGAGACTTCGCAGCCCCCTGGGTGGCTGCGACCTGCGCAACCGTCGCCACTTTCCTGGGCTCCTGGGAGGCACGGCAGAGTAGCGGAGTACCCGAGACCTCGCAGCTGAACTGCGCAACTGTGGCCACATTCCTGAGCTCCTGGGGGGCACGGCGGAGTAGCGGAGTACCCGAGACCTCGCAGCTCCCTGTGAGGGCTGCGAACTGTGCAACTGTGGCCGCGTTCGTGGGCTCCTGGGTGGCACAGAGGCGCAGCGGAGTGCCCGAGACCTCGCAGCTCCTTGGGGGGCTGCAAACTGCACAACTGTCGCCACTTTCCTGGGCTGCTGGGAGGCACGGCGGAGTAGCGGAGTGCCCGAAACCTCGCACCTCCCTGGGGAGCTGCGAACTGCGCAACCGTCGCCACTTCCTTAAGCTCTGGGCAGGCACGGCGGCGCCGCGGAGTGCCCGAGACTTCGCAGCTCCCCGGGGGGGCTGCGAACTGCACAATTGTCGCCACTTGCCTGGGCTCCTGGGAGGCAGGGCGGCGTAGCGGAGTACCCCCGAGACCTCGCAGCTCCCTGGGGGTGCCGGCGAACTGCACCACCGTCGCCGCTCTCGTGGGCTCCGGGGAGGCACCGCGGAGTGCGGGGGACGTGCGTCCAGCCGAGACCTCGCGCCTCCCTGGGTGGCTGCGAACTGCGCAGCAGTCGCCACTTTCGTGGGCTGCTGGGAGGCCCAGTGGCGTGGGGGCGCACGCAAACCGAGCCCAGACCTCGCGGTTCCCTGGGGTGGTGCGCAGTGCGCAAGTGTTGTCACCGTCGTGGGCTCCAGTCTCGCGCTCACCTAGAGTTAAGTCGGGCCTGTCCCCCTACAGGGGGATTTTCGACGAAGAATGCAAAATACCCCAAAAATCATGAAAAATAGTCCAGAAATAGTCTGTGGACTATTTTTGGTATATTTTTGACCTTTTTGGGCATTGTTGGGGTATTTTTTATTTTTCGTCGAAAATCCCCCTGTAGGGGGACACGCCCGACATAAACCTAGAGCTCCGACGTCGTGAGATTTGTTCGTTGAGGTGGACCCCCGAAAGTCTGGACCGCCACGGGGCTGGGGCCTCATCCTGGGTCGCTTCTTGACGGCCCTGGGGTCCGGCAAGGGCTCCAAGGCGCCGAAGACAGCCAAACACATCAAGACTCCAAGAAACCCTGCGCCCGACTCCACTATCAAGCCGGCTTTTCTTCATCGAGCTGCGGCGAGGGCACTGCATGGATAAGGAACCACTGGACAAGGGTTCCAGGGTCTGGAAGCTGGTGGAACTCCAATCGTGGAGTGGCCATGGAGACCACCGCCGCCATCATAGGATAAGGGTTCCTCCAGTGACCGAACTCCTGGGCACACGCCTCAACGGCCAAAACGCCTCCACGAAATCGCGCGGACCTGCCCCAGACATCCGGCACTCCAATCTCTCCGATGTGTGACCCCCGGAGATCTTGACAACTTCCAAGGGGCCTGCTCTTCATCCTGAATGTTTGTTTTTCCCATCCTGAGTAATCAGTTGGCTTCCCCCCAGAAGCCCAAAATAGCAGAACGACTTGCGACCCAATCTGTTTGGAGCCTCGGACCTCTGGGACTCCACTGTCGAGTCGGCTCTTCCTCATCAAGCTGCTCATCCTCCTGATTGAAGGGGCCCAAGGACACACAAACAAATACACACAAATAAAATAATCCCCTATAGTTTCCCATATTTTCTCGGTTTCTGTCTTCCCCCCTCGAAGATTAATTGTGTCTGTGTGTTTCTTTTCCTCCTGACTGATGTCGGCCGCGCGCAGAGGGGGGCAGGGGCAGGGTAGAAGGCTTCTTAGAAGCACCCCTGCTTCTTGGAAGGCGCGGGCCCTCACAGCAGACGTAAGGCCAGCGCCCTCTGAGAAGCAGCCACCTTCCAAGAAGCGCCTTCCCAGGCACGCGACGTCTTGATTTTTGTCCATATACGCGGTGCCCCGGGACCGGCTCTCCCTCCTGAATCGTCCCTTGACGGTCCCGGGGCCCGGCGATGGCCTCCATAGAGGCCGAGAACGCTCAATAAAAACCTCCGTCCTGATTTCTGTACGACGCGCTCACGCCTGGGGGGCGGGACCGGTTCTTCCTCCTGGATTCATCGTCCCTTGACGGTCCTGGGGGCCCGGCGATGGCCTCCATAGAGGCCGAGAGCACTCCAAAAAATCTCCGTCCTCATTTCGTTACGACGCGCTCACGCCTGGGGGGCTCCCTCTCCCCCCTGCCCCCCCTCCCCTGCGCGCCGCCAGTGATGCGGTCTGGCCCTGTGCCCGTGCCGCCTTCTCCTCGCAGACGCGCGGACGTCCTGACTCTTTTCCCAGGGCGCCGTCCCCACAAGGCCCGACCCCTTCCCCGGGGGCCGGCTTCTCCCCCCTGAGCTGTTTGTGGACGGTCCCGAGACCCAGACCTCCTCGAGTCAGGAAAAAATCACGACGGGAGGTTTTTCGCTATTTTCGGCCTCTGAGGGCCCTTACCGGACCTCGGGACCGTCAACAAACGACTCGGGATGAAAAACCGGTCCCGGGGAATGGGTCTGGACCTCTGGGGGCCGCGTCATGAAAAAATCATGCCGTCAGGGGTCTGGGGACCCGGCGAGGGCCTCCCGAGGCCGAGAACGGCGAAACACCTCCGTGCAGAATTTTGTGACGACGCGCTCATATGTCCCCAAACATGCGAGGTCCTGATTTTTTCGGGACGGCGTCGACCCCGGGAGTCCCGGGCCGGCTTTTTTCTCCCGCGTCGCTTTCTGACGGTCCCGAGGCCCGGCGATCCCGAGGCCTGGCGAGGGCCCCCGGGGGCCGAAAATGGCCCCAAACGTCCCGTCCGACGCGACGCGACCATGTCTGGAGATGTATACGAGGAGGGGGAGGAGGAGGAGGAGGAGGAGGAGGAGGAGGAGGAGGAGGAGGAGGAGGTGGACAGAGGAGGAGGAGGTGGACAGAGGAGGAGGAGGTGGACAGAGGAGGAGGAGGAGGAGGAGGAGGAGGAGGAGGAGGAGGAGGAGGTGGACGGACAAGGAGGAGGAGGAGGAGGGTCTGGGTCTGGGTCTGGGCTCTCTCCCCCGCGCGCCTTGCCCAGGGCCGCGAAGGCGTGCGCCCGCACGTCGGGGGCGAGGCCGGCGCTGGTGGCGACGGCCGGAGGAGGGCCCGCCGCGACGCCCGGTGGCTCTGCAGGTGACCACCCACCAAGCCACCCCAACCCAACCCGAAGACCCGAACTTCGGGTTGGGGGGGGGGTACAGTGCCGTTTCTAATGCATGCTCCGCGTGCGGATCATGTATTAAACATGCAGGGATTTAGCATTAAAACAACGATGAGTTCATGCATAATCTTATTTCTAAAGTAAACATGTATTAAAATCATAGATTTTTAAATCCTATGTATGAAAAAACTGCCCTGTACGGGTTCCATATGTGTGTTTTCCATGTGCATAAGTTTATTCCTGAATTGGTCATTCGTTAAAATCGTATGTTTATGTGCATATATATATATATACATATATATATAGAACAATCCTATGTATGAAGAGCTGCCCTGTACGGGTTCCATATGTGTTTTTTCAATGTGCCACGAAGCCCCCCCCCCCCACTGGAACTGGAGGGCACATTGGAGGCCTTCGGGTTGGGCTGGGGTGGTTCGGTGGGCGATGGGCATGCGCACGGCCGGGGCAACGGCGGCGAGCAGCCGCCGCGGTGCGCTGCGGGCAGCCCGCAGTGTGCCGGCACGGCGCTCGACACGTACACCCAGCCAATCAGGGCGGAGGTTTTTCGCCGTTTTCGGCCCCTCCTGCTCCTCCTCCTCCTCCTCCTCCTCCTCCCCCTCCTCGTATACATCTCCAGACATGGTCGCGTCGCGTCGGACGGGACGTTTGGGGCCATTTTCGGCCCCCGGGGGCCCTCGCCGGGCCCCGGGGCCGTCAGAAAACGAGGCAGGATGAAACACCGGCCCCGGGGAAAGGGTCGGGGCTGCCGGGGACGCCGTCCTGAGAAAGTCAGGGTTTCGCATGTCTGGGACCCGTAATGAGCGTGTTGACACGGAGCTCAACACGTACAGTCAACCCGTATCATGAGGACGCGCGGCAAGGATGCAAGGGCCTTGGAGGGCCACGTCAACGTGTTCCAAACGAGGTTGGCCATCGAAAGCTGCTAAGGACGGGCCGAAGGGGCAAGGATGCAAGGGTACCCCTGGGGAGGATGCCCATCCTTACTACGCAGGTTGACGGTAGACTGAAACCGTAGGTCTGACGTGATACGCTCGCCCCAACGTGTCGGGGGCGCGGAAGCGTGGATTAGCGATCCATGGATTTGGCGCACGGTCGCCAAATCCATGGCTCGGGGGAGGTGCCCTCCCCCAAATGCGGCTGGTGCCGCCTCGTTCGGCGGCGGAAATCCGCGAGTTCCCATGGAAACGGGACCCGTCGCTGATCCACGCCGCCTTCATCCATGTTTAAAGGGCCCCAGGACACACAAAGAAATACACACAAATTAGCAGATTCCCCATATTTTCCTATATTTTGGGGGGCTTTCGTCTTCCCCCCCGCTTCCCATAGCTTCCGGGGAATCGACGATTCATTGTGTCTGTGTGCTTTTTTTCCCTCCTGAATGTTTGCGATGCCACGGCGCGGAGCCAACGCGCAGCGTGCTGGCGCGGACGCTCTGGGCACGGCACGCGCTGCGCCCCGAGACGCGCGGTGTGTACCGAGGCAGCCGGGACGCCCGGCAGCTCTGAGGCGCACCCTCGGGGTACGCGGCGGCCCTCCCCCTGGGCCTATGTCCTCCGTCCACCTCCTTCTCCCCCCTCCTCCTCCCCCTGCCCCTCCTCCTCCTCCTCCTCCTCCTCCTCCTCCTCCTCCTCCTCCTCCTCCTCCTCCTCCTCTCCGTCAACCTCCTTCCTCCACCTCCTCCTCCTCCTTCGACCTCTTCCTCCTCCTCCTCTCCTCTTTCCTCCTCCTCCTCCTCCTCCTCCTCCTCCTCCTCCTCCTCCTCCTCTCCGCCTCCGCCTCTCCTCCTCCTCCTCCTCCTCCTCCCTCTTTTTCCTCCTCCTCCTCTCCCTCTCCTCCTCCTCCTCCTCCTCCTCCTCTCCTCTCTCTCCCCCTTCTCCTCTCCTCCCTCCTCCTCCTCTCTCCTCCTCCTCCTCCTCCTCTCTCCTCCTCCTCCTCCTCCTCCCCCTCCCTCCCCCTCCCCCTCCCCCGGCCCCCCTCCTGGCCTCTGTTGTTCGTCGCCGTCGGACCTCCGGGGGGGGCTTCTCGGCACCACAGCTGGGCCCGCCTCGAGAAACGGGTCGGGGCCCAAGCCAGACCTCCTCCCTCGCGCTGTGAGGCAAGTCACGCCGGGCAGTGCTCTGCGAATTTCGGCCTCCGGGGACCCTTCTACCGGGCCTCAGGACCGGCAAACAACTATCGTTTTTGGCGGGTCCCGAGGCCCGGTACAAAAACGATCGTTTTCATCCTGAGTCGATTCAGGATGAAAAACCGGTCCCCGGGGAAGGTGTCCAGACCTCTAAGGGTCGACGTCGCAACAAACAAAAACACGACGACGTCGGGGGTCTGGGAACGAACCCAGGGGAGCGGTCTTTGAGCGGGTTCGGGCTGGGCGGGCGAGCCGCTGGCAAGGCCCTCCCTGGCTTTCTTCATCGTTCTCGGGCCTCCTGGGGGCTACAGTGGGGGCCCGACCACAAGAAACCTTCCACAAGAAGCCCAATCCTGAGACCCCAGGACGTCCACCGATTTTGGGTGTGGGAACGTCACGCTTTCCATCGCAAAACCATCGAATCCCAAGAAACCCAAGGCAACCTGGAGGCGAGCAGGGTGTTTCTTGGCATGGGCCCCCAATGTTTTTTTTGCAGCGCAGTTTTGGAAGGAGGACGGCAAAAAGGCAAGGACGATCACGCCAAACCCCAACGCGCACGATTGCCATCAGTTCCGTCCCGTCGGCGGCGTCCCAGTCTCCTGGAGGCCTCTTGGAGAGCGTTTCCTTGTTTTCGGCGATGACGGGCGTCATGGGGGGGGAGGAGGGGGGGGGGGGGGGGGGGTAATGACGCAACGCCCTCCCCCGCCGTGTGGCTTCCTCTGTCGTCTCTCCGCCTCCTGGAGGCCTCTGGTCACCACGGCTGCAGCCGCCTCGAAGAACGGGTCGGGATGGGCCCGCGGATCGGCTCTGAGCGGACGTGGGCCGGGCGGGAGGGCCCCTGGTGAGGCTTCCGCGAGGAGGAGGAGGAGGAGGAGGAGGCGGAGGCGGAGGAGGATGGAGGAGGAGGAGGAGGAGGAGGGGGTGGGTGGAGGAGGAGGAGGAGGAGGAGGAGGAAGGAGGAGGAGGAGGAGGAGGAGGAGGAGGAGGAGGCGAGGAGGAGGAGGAGGAGGAGGGGGGAGGAGGAGGAGGAGGAAGGACATGGTGAGGATGCTGGAGGGGGGGGAGGAGGAAGGGAGGAGGAGGAGGAGGAGGAGGAGGAGGGAATGGAGGGAAGGAGGGAGGAGGAGGAGGCGGGGAGGGGAGGAGGAGGAGAGGGAGGGGGAGGGAGGAGGAGGAGGGAGGAGGGAGGAGGAGGCGGAGGAGGAGGAGGAGTGGGTAGAGAATGAAGGAGGGGAGGGGAGGAGGGGAGGAGGCGGAGGAGGAGGAGGATGAGCAGGAGGAGGAGGAGGAGGGAGGAGCCGGAGGAGGAGGAGGAGGAGGAGGAGGAGGAGGAGGAGGAGGAGTGGGAGGATGAGGAAGGGGTGGGGAGGAGGAGGGGAGGAGGAGGAGGTGGAGGAGGAGGTGGGAGGAGGAGGTGGTAGGAGGAGAGGAGGAGGAGGAGGAGGAGGGGGAGGAGGAGGAGGAGGCGGAGGAGGAGGAGAAGGAGGAGGTGGAGTGAGGAGGAAGGAGGAGGCGGAGCAGGAGAGGAGGAGGAGGAGGAGGAGGCGGAGCAGGAGGCGGAGGGGGAGGAGGAGAGAGGAGGGAGCAGGCGGAAGGAGGAGGAGGAGGAGGTGTGCAGGAGGAGGCTGTCGAGGCCAGCCAGGCCTGCCTGGAGGGGCCAGCTGCCTGTGCCCCTCACCAGCGACTCTCCCGCCTGACCCAAAGCCTGTCAAAATCTCTCCCTGCACCCCTCCTCCTCCGCCTCTTCCTCCTCCTCCGTCCACCTCCTCCTCCTCCTCCTCCTCCTCCTCCTCCTCCTCCTCACCCGTTCTTCGAGGCGTATCCAACCGTGGTGACGAGAAACCTCCAGGATGCTGAGAAACGACAGAGGAAGCCAGGGATGGCCGTTGTTGTTCGGACTGCCCCGACTTCGGACCCGCTGTGCCTCTTCGGACGACCTCGCAGGTGGGGCGCCGATGTCCGCCCCACGTTGCTGCCGCTGTTTCCGCCGTTCCTCTGCGGAAAGACCCGCCCCGACATCTCTGAGGCGGATATCTCCACCCTAACCGAGACTGGATCTTTAGAACCACCACCGCCCGAGTGGAAACTAATCATTTGTTCGACGACCTTGTTGACGGACTGGGGCCCCACCAATAGCGGAAAATAATAACTCACCCGCGGCACCCGCCGCACAACAACAACGACGACGACGGCGACGACGATGACTAGGAGGAGTAGGAGGAGTAGGAATAGGAGTAGGAGTAGGAGTAGGAGTAGGAGTAGGAGTAGGAGTAGGAGTAGGAGTAGGAGTAGGAGTCAAGCTAGCCAGCTCGAGCGAGTCAAGCATGGCATGCCCAGTCCCACCCGCCCTCCCACAACATAAGAAGCAAAGCTGGCACAACTGGGGGCCGAAGTCACACCGGCAGCCGGTTTGGTACAGCTGATGCGGCCGCGATGGCGGTTGCCGACGGGAACTGGCGAGCGCGTGTTGAATGCCGCGCACGCATTGCCAGACGAGTCGAGAATGGCCCGGTACACCGCAGGAAGCCAGAGAGGTGGCCGGAGGAAACCCGACGGTCTGACAGGACACCCCAAAACACTCTTGTGAAAAAGCATTGGGCTTTTGATGTTTTTATGTTGAAATGCTTGCAAACACACGGTGTTCGGTAGGATTCTGACATGAACGCGCGAGTGTGCTCTTTGTGGTATTTTTTTGCACAGGATTCGCGGCCTGGGTGCATGACAGAGCATCGCGAGTGCACCGCGCGATGACGTGAAATCGCTGGATTTGACAGAATTCTAAAGATTCCTATGGTTTT